TGGAACTAGAGTTAAGGATGGTTCATAGCCTCCATGTGGGTGCTGGGAATCGACCCCTGGTCCTCTGCAAGAGCAGTCAGTGCTCTTAACTGCTGAACCATCTCTCCAGCCCCTGAATAAACTTTTTTTAAGTTATTAAAAAAAAAATTCTTTTAAAATTTTATGGATAGGTGGGGCATGATGGTACATCCCTTTAATCTTAGACACACTGAACCAAGACTTCTGAGAACCTGAGATTTGGGCCTGATAGTGGGCATTGTTTCTTAATGATACTGCAGTTTGGCCAATACTGCTCTACAGATTTCTTTACTCTCAGGACGTGAGCCAAAAACAAACAAAACCAGGTTAGTTTAAATACAGAACATGTAATTTTGCAATTCGAATGAACACTTAAGTTTTCCCAAATTCTTAAGCTTTAAAATAGGAAGTTATAATAACTCTGGGATAGTCTGACAGAAACATTGTGTCACTCTCTGACTAGCATACACTGTTGTTAAATTGTAGATTCTTTTTTTAGAGTCTTATACTATGCTTTATATTCTGTATGTGTTTTTGTGAACTGTCATGTGTGCTTTAAACTTTAGTGGTGAAAACATAATCAACAGATAAACTCGTCTTTATTTTAGGTTGAACTGCCACCACCTGATCTTGGCCCTTGTTCTGCACTGAATCAGACCCTCACATTGCTGCGGGAAGTGCTGGCATCACATGATTCCTCAGTCGTTCCACTGGATGCTCGTCAGGCTGACTTCGTACAGGTTGTCTCTAAATTCATTCTCAATGATTATGTTTTCCTTCTCTTTTATACATTCTGTCAAATGTTGGCATTTGTGAGCCATTTATTTTGATAATCCATTTTATTGTTGATTTTTGTTCATTATTAAGTCATTTCTTTAAATTTTAACAGGTCGTAATTCAGTAATGCCCGTTTTCAAGCTCTATGATTGTTTTGTTACTAAAACTTTCTTGTGCACTTTTGTGAGTTGGCTATCTTCCCATTAGTTTGGCATTTAATTCTGAAATGCTATGAACCCAGGACCATGTCACTGATTAAGAAATAAAGAATTCATTTCCCTTTCATTTTCAGGTTTTATCATGTGTCTTAGATCCTCTCCTCCAGATGTGTACTGTATCAGCCAGCAATTTAGGCACAGCTGACATGGCCACGTTCATGGTCAACTCTCTGTATATGATGAAGACAACACTGGCTCTGTTTGAATTCACTGACAGGCGCCTGGAAATGCTACAGTTTCAGGTAAATTTTGCTATAAAATGACTTCACTGTGATTTTTTTTTTTAATGTGGTAGCTTTAAATTACTAGCTTTTGACAAATTTCAGTGATTTAATTGCTATCCATTTCTTGAGATATTCTAATGGAAGGATGGGGACACACACACACACATGCACATTTAGCATTTTGGTTTTCAGCTTTCAAGAGGCCAGAATATGAAGTGGTTAAGATACTTGATCAGATCATAATATGAGATAGGATCAGGAAGTTATTTGGGGCAGTATGCTGATTTCACATTACTGTCATATGCTGTGTCTCTCAAGCTGTGTAGCTAGTGCAGAAGGTGTTCTAGAGGGCACAGATGTTTCTGTATGTTTAAAGCACCCTGAGGCAGCAGCTTGTTCACCAGTTGCTGTTCCCACAAGCCATGTCCTTTCACTGCAGTCTGATGACGGCCAAATCAAAGCTATTTGTGACAGTTTCCCAATACTGGGATTCTGATATTACAGTGATATTAGTAGATACAGTGTTAAGAAAACAAGAATAAGAACAAAAACCTTAATCAGGATTCTTTGTTATCAAAAGCATATAAAGACTGTGGTAGTGAATAAATAAAATTTGATTTTTTTGTTTTACATTTTGATACATCTAAATTTTCTGATTTATGATACATTTAAAACTATTTGAGAATTAACAATATTCATAGCTTAAAGTCTGATAATTGTGGAGCTTGATGTAAAAAGGTACAGTGGACAACCAGCCTCTCGGTCTCAGCATTGCTCTCCCACTCATCTACCTGAAGGACGGCTTCCTTTCAGTGCCTGTGTTCACTTCTGCTGGTATTGGTAGCTCTAAATACTTGGTGAACTGCTCAACCTGCAGATTTTGGGAAGGTTTGATATAATGGTTTTTAATTAACTTTTTAGATTAGCACACAAATAATGGATTTCATCATGTATTTTCATGTATCTGTGTAATTATACTTTGTTCTAATTAATCCTTCTCTCCCCCCATTCCCTCTCCAGGCCCTCTCCTTCAGTTGGTTACCTTCCTTCCCCCTAGATAGACCCTCCTCTTGCTTACCATATGTGTTCCATTCTCCATGTCCCACTTTGCTAACACACACCACACACAGAGACAGACAGAAACAGAGACACAGAGACATAATGTGTAAACAAGAGATTGCTTTGCCAAGAGCTTTCTCATCTTTCCAGGGTAGCTGTATTTGCTTAGACCACTGTTGTGTTGAATTATTTTGATTATAAATGCTATCAAATAGCTGAGTCATGTTAGGAAGAATAATTAATTTCCTAGATTTTTTTTGTTTCTATGGAATTAATGTACTTGTCAATTTTTATTTTTTTTTTATAGTTCTCACCAGTTCAAGTGCAGATCTCATCTGTCTTCCCAGTTTTTTTCTCCAAAGGCCCAGATACATTAGGGTTCATCATTTCGCATTATCACCAGCTACATGTCTGTCCACAGTGTTCCATACCTTTTTTCATGGTGCAAAGTTTTGTATCTATTAAGCGGAGATCATTAATTTATCCAGGTTCTCTATATTCTTCCTGTGCCTTCCGCCTTTTGATGTGTTGGGACTTTTTACACATACTTAAAGGGCCATACAGTGTTTTGATGCCAAAGCATGGTTTATCAGGTCTTTGAAAGAGCGTTTCTTTTGTTGAGCTAAGGACTCTTGAAATTCAGACTACTTCTGTCAGTCACCATACTAAATTGCTTCCATGTTTAGCTTTTCTCAATGTTTCAGCTAAGAAGACCAGGAAGTTTCATTCTCCCTTGTGGTAATTAGGTCTGCCCATCTGGAAACCTTTGGGTTTAGATACTTCCTCAGAGCACTAAGAATTTTCCTTTGGGTTCAGATACTCCCCCAGAGCACTAAAAAAAATTAATGTATTTATTTTTATGTTATTTGTCTGGGTGTCTTGCTTGTATATATGTAAGTACACCTTACGCATACAATGCCCACAGAAGCCAGAAGAGGGCATTGGATCCCATGGAACTGGAGTTAAGGACAGGCTTAGCCAGTGCTCTTAACTACTGAGCCGTCTCTCCAGCAGTCCCCAGAGAATTTTAAGTATGCCTCTTTTTCCATTATTTCCATCTTAGATATCTGAGAGCTTTTTTGAATTTAAACATTCAAACCTTTTACTGAGCAAAATGTTTTTGTCATTTCTTACAATTTTTCATGCTCTGTTGTTTTTATATTCTGAAGCTCCTGTCTTTGGTTCATTTTATTTCATGGATCTGTTCTCCAATTTATTCTAAGTCTCTTTACTTCTTTAATATTTTCTCAGTCTTCAGTTTTTTTCTTCAGGTCACTGATTCTGTTGTTAGCAGTAACTACTCTCTCTTCCACTTTCATTAAATACTTGCATTTGTACAAATTATTATTCAATGTTCAGTAAATCCAAGAAGCAAGGACTCTAATTGCATTTCCTTGGGCATTTACATAAAAAAAAAACCAGAAAACTGTAGACTTCTTATAGGGAGGGATATTGTTGGAATTGCTGAACAAGGCAGGCTTTGACATGGTAAAAGAAACTAAGGTTGGCAATGTTCCGTGCCATTGACAAATCAGTAACACTAAGGAAACGTCCTAGTGAGGAAGAGAAGGGAGACCTCCAGGTTTTTCAGGGTTTATTGGAAAAACAAGGAGGAGCAGCTTCTTTCCACTAGGAATGTGTATCTCATCAGAGTGGCCTCTCAGACTGGGAAGACAAACCACTGATACCTGCTTGCCAGATTTTCTGGAGCACTTCCTGACTGGATTCTTTGACCAGCTTGTGTAGGGCCCTTTCATTTCTCATGCTTGTCATAGACTTGCTTTATCCCAGAGATAATTTGCAGTTTCAGCTGCAGTGAGATTTCCTCCAAGATTCTCCAGGTTTTGGTTGTTGAGTCAATCCAGGGAGTGGGAGGTTCACATCAGGCATTTCAGGACCTTCCCCATCCCAGAATTCTCCCTGAAATTTATATTACATGGTTGTTATAAGTAGTTTCTGAGTTCTGCTTTTAAAGTAGTTGAGAAGCAAGCCAGATTTGGTGCCACACAACCTTTGATCCCAGAATTCCGGAGGTAGAGGCAGGCAGATCTCTGTGAAACCTAGGCTAGCCTGGTCAGAATCCTCTTTGATTATAAATTTTATTTATAAGTAAGAGAAAAACTTCTCTATGTGGGGCGAAAGAGCCATTCTTGTCAAGGTCATCTTTTGCCCAATGTTTGGGGCCACTCCAAGGCATGTCATGAAGACAGCCCCAGCACGCTCTCTGTTTAGTGTGATCACTGTTAACTTTTCTTCTGAAATGTTTTTTTCTGCTGTACTTTATTTTAGATCGAAGCACATTTGGACACTCTTATAAATGAGCAAGCCTCTTATGTTTTAACTAGGGTTGGCTTGAGTTATATCTACAACACCGTACAACAGCATAAACCTGAGCAGGTGAGTACCAGCACATAGTTGTTCCTGATCTGACAAGGGCCATTTTAGAGTGGCTGTCAAGAGCTGGACTCAGATGAAGTCACTTTACCTTTCTGTCCATTTCCTCAGCTGAGAACAGGTCTGATCATAGCATCTGTGCCATAGGATTAGGAAATGCAAATAATTTTTGGTTGAAAGTAATGAAAACATATAGAAATTAGTATCATAAAATGTAAATATATGGACATGAATATTATAAAAAATATAAAAGATTGCGGAGTGTGATGGTACATACCTTTAATCCGAGCACTCAAGAGGCAGAGGCAGGTAAATCTCTGGAGTTCAAAGCCATCCTGGTCTATAAAGTGAGCTCTAGGCTAGCTGGGGTTACAGGGAAATCCCATCTCAAAAAGACCAAAAAAAAAGTATATACTAGTAAGAGTTTTTTTTTTTTTTTAACCCGATCTAATTTTCAGATGAATGAGCTTATAAATTCCTACCTAAGTCATAGTTACCCTTTTTTTTAATTTAGCAGATCATTAAAGGAAAAGAAATTGTTTCTATAGCCAACATGATCTTATTAAATTATAGAGCCCAGTAGTAACAGATAATGGAAAGGTGGGAAACCTGAACCCAAAGTAAACTATTTTGCCTTAAAAAGCAAAGACTTCTCTACAATGACAGCAGTGTGAATATGCTGCAGCCCAGTCACAACTTTCACCTTTTGATTTTGCTGAAAGAATGAGCCGATTTATAGGAGGGACCAGTTCTGTTGGTCTTCTGTTTTCTAAAACTGTCACAGGGACGCTGTCTAGTCTCCATATCTCACCAGCATCCTCCAAGGCTTCATTACCTTCTTCTTCTTGCTTTGAGTAGGTCTGAAGTATGCTGGTATTTCATTGTTGATAAATTTGTGCTTTCATGCCTCAGAATTATAATCCATAATTCTACTGAGGTTGAAGAGGAAATACTTTGCTTTGGAAAAAGTTAAATGATTTTTGTTAACTTGGGCAGTCTGCTCATAGACCATAAGAGAGCTGAAATGCTTATCTCCATTTTTACATCTTTTTTTTTCTTTAAATAGGGTTCTTTAGCTAATTTGCCTAACCTAGACTCTGTGGCATTGAAGGCTGCAATGGTAAGTACATAGTAAAGCATTTCATTTTGGATTTCCTTTGAGAATGCTGGTCTTTGTTTGCTGTATGATGATAATGTCCTGAGTGATCATTTTAATCTCCTGATGTACTGTGTTCACATTGGGTCCAATAATAATCATTGAGGGTATATTCTTTGGTCATGTCTGACCAAGACTTATTTTTATTTTAATACCTCACCAGACCTTGATAACTTCATCAGTACTATTTAGACTTTCTTTTTAGGTTTCTTTCTTTGTTTTGTTTTAATATT